TTTACGCATACACGAAATGAACAGATCTAAATCAACAACAAGTGCACTGTAACCTTCTAATCTCTAGCATTCTTAGCAGACATGATCTTATCTAAAGAACCAGTTTTCAAGGTCTGTTACAGTCTAACAAAGCCTGTGTCAATCTATACTACTAAATACCCCCTTCTCTTTCATAAGGTATATAATGTTAAGTATTACTTATTTACATAAACAACAACTAGGGGAATGCTACAGGAGTCAGTATCATTGGGAAAGAGAACCGATGTTATAAATGTACAATTATACATGGAGAGCAAATGAAAAGAAGACAACTATAAAAACGGGGAGCATTACTACTGACACTGTATTAGATTCCCAAAGACAGCAATAGAACCCAAAATGAGCTGCTTTACTCCATCCACAGCTCAGCTACTCAAAAAAAAAAAAAAAATCAAAACTGAAAGCTAATTTCTTTTCCTCATTTCCCTAGACAGCTTACCCAACCCAGAAAGTAAAAAAACCTATTCACAAAAAGATGGCCATTGAGGAAACATCAATCCTTTTGGCAAGCCATCAGTTTAATAACATGCAGTTACCAACCAAAAGCACTAATAATAAATTAACAGTAGGTTCTTGTGGGTTTTTTCGGGCTATAGGGCCATGTTCTAGAGGCATTAACAATTCAAAATTAAAACAGTTCTACATAGTAAATAAAAATAGATGAATATTTTTCACTAAAAAAGTAATCACTGACCAGATCAACTCTACACAGTTTCTAAGCATAGCACAGCATCATTTATTTGCCTAACCTCTGACCAACATAGTTCTTTGGAAAATGGGCATGTCAGTATCAAAACTGTCCTCCCAGTAAAAGCTCAGAACATACCAGGCCTGGTTTAGGGTCTGTTCTTCTGGTGCTCTTTGCACTCCACAAACAATGGCAAAGTGCCTTCAAATAACAGGTACTAGAGATAAAGAGACCACATGGGACATATATTCCATCCCCCTGCCATACAGCAAGAAAAGTACAATCAAAGTACCCCCGAGAGATAGCCATCCAGCCTGTTTAAAAGCCTCAAAGGAAGGAGTTTCCATCACACTCTAAGGCAGAGTTCCACTGTTGAACAGCTCTCACAGTCAGGAAGCTCTTCCTGATGTTCAAGGAATCTTCTTTCCTATCATTTGAACTCATAGCTCCACAGCCTAGTCTCCAGGGCAGCAGAAAACAAGCCTGCTCCATCTTCCTTAAATGACATCCTTCCACAACACATCAATGTCCAATACACCTACTAACTCCAAAAAGTCTCTAGTAAATATATTCCTCCACCTGAATAAGTGCTGGATTTTTAACTAGAGCTTATACATGTTTTGAAACATGATCCCTTCCCTGTAAATTTATGCTCCTATTCTGCAATGTAAAGGACACTTCTCTAAGCACGCTATCACCAGGAAAAAAATGCATTCTTCATTGACTCATGGGCACTTAAAGATATCTTCACTTTGTATGAATTTATGGATAAATAGTTGATGCTGGCATCCCTCCATGACAGCTACTCTACACAGTTATGGCAGCCTACTACCTTTCAAAGATAATCATGCTACTCCATGCCTGCATAAAACCCCTGTGGCAGGCCAGAGACTGAAACAGAATTTTTTTTCATTTCACATAAAATTATGGATTAACCGTTGTTGCTGGCATCCCTCCATAAAAAGCACTATACATAGTTGTGACAACCTACTACTGCTCAATGAAATAGTTGCGTTAGCCCGTTCCTGCAAAAATATGCTATGACAGGTCAGAGAATTGTCTAGCATGCTATTCCTACTATACATCATGCTCACAACAACCAATTCAGCTAGTTTAGGAGGAAACACTGTGACTTCAAAGTCCATGCTTTGAAGCTGAGGACAGATTTGAACCCTGGTTTTGTTTTACTATTCGATTGCATAGTTTTACATTTTATTATTCATTCCTTCTTTCTACACAACCATGTGTATCCGCAAATTTCACTATCCATGGCTTGAAAATATTCTACTCACCCAGTATTTATTTTGTCATTTTATACAAGAGATATCATTTTACTACGCACGTTGTATACAATGAGATGCGAGCATCCATGGATGTTGGAGTATGTTGGGGTTCGGTAACCAAACAGCAGAAGATACAGAAGGCTCGGTGTACGTATGTTTTTTTAAATTGTATGCCTGTAGCATGGCCTAGTTTTTGGCTTTACTGCAAGTGAAGCACCATGCAAATTGATGTTGCTATATAAATAAATAGCAGGAGCAGTATCACAACCCAAGCCTCTCCCCCAGCCCTTGCCTGACGCACTCCAGCAGTCACTATGTACACCTGGGATTCATCATTAACATTAAACACACTAAATGACTGGGGAAAATGTGAAATTACTTGTGAAGCTTCATAGGAAACAAATGAAACTAGAAGGCAGAGGGAGCGATCTTATAAATAGTATGATAAAAGCCTTCTCTTTCCCTACTTCCACACACACACAGAGAAAGAAAATGAGTAATATTAGTAGTATTCATAACCTGCTCCCCCTCCCATGCAAAAAAAATTGGACTCCCAAGTACTCTTGTCATCCCCCTACAGACAGACATACATAAAAATATTATTAGTATTAATATTAGTAGCTGTAGTAGTTACATTCTGCTTTTTGCCCAAATTAAGATGCCCAAACACTCACAGTTTTGTGAACCCTTAAGAAGTATTACTAATATTGCTATTGTTATCAGTAGTAATAGTATTTATTTCCTGCTTTCCCCAAAATCTGGACTCCCAAGCCCCCTCCCTCCCAATACACAACTATCAGTAGTTTAACTAGTAGACACACTATTATTACTGTTATTAATATTATATTTGTAGTATAGATTTCACTAGTAATATTTCTGTCCTACTATCCCCTCAGATCAGGATCCCCGATAAGTCTCTTCTTTACAGATATGAATAGTAATGTAATTAATATCAGTAGTAGTATAAATGTCAGCAGTGATATTTATATCCTGCTTTCTCCTTAAATTGGGACTTCCAAGTAATCTTATCCCCTGCTTTATAGACAAGATATATATTATCATTAGTATTAGTATTAATATCAGTGGTAGTATGTTAGTAGTAATCTTTCTATCCTGCTTTCCCCTCAATTTGGGTCTCCCAAGCACACACCCGCTTCCTTACAGAAACACAGACATGATTAGTAGTATTAGCATCAGTAGTATAAACGTTAGTAATATTTCTGTCCCACTATCCCCTCAGATTGGGATTCCCAATAAGTCTCCTCTTCTTTACAGACAGATATGATTAGGAGTGTAATTAATATCAGTAATAGTATAAATGTCAACAGTAATATTTATATCTTGCTTTCTCCTTAAATTGGGACTTCCATGCACCCTTCTCCTCAAACATGATAACTAGCAGTATTAGTAGAAGTATAAATGTGAGTAGTAGTCTTTCTATACTGCTTTCTCCTCACCCCTCTTTACAAACATGATTAGTAGTATTATTGGTATCAGCAGTAGTACAAATGTTAGCAGTAATACTTATATCCTGCTTTCTCCTTAAATTGGGACTCCCTTTACAGACATGATTAGTATTACTCATAGTGTAAATGTGAGTAGTAGTCTTCCTATCCTGCTATCCACTCAAATGGAGACTCCCAAGCACCTTCTCCCCCTTTATAGACATGATTAGTAGTAGTATGGTATTAGTAGTAGTATAAATGTCAACAGTAATATTTATATCTTGCTTTCTCCTTAAATTGGGAGTCCCATGCACCCTTCTCTCCCCTTTACAGACATGATTAGTACATACTATCAGTAATAGTAGAAGTACGTATAACTGTGGATAGGAGCCTTCCTATCTTGTTTTCCCCTCAAACTGAGTCTCCTAAGCACCCTTCTCCCTGCTTTACAGACATGATTAGTAGCATTATCATCAATAGCAGTATATATGTCAATAGTAATATATCCAGATTTCTCCTTAAACTGGGATTCCCAAGCACTCCACCCCTCTTGATAGACATGATTAGTAGCATTGTTATCAGTAGTAGTATATATGTCAGTAATAATATATCCAGATTTCTCCTTAAACCAGGACTCCCAAGCGCTCCCTCCCCTTGACAGACATGATTAGTAGTATTATTATCAGTAGTAGTATATATGTCAATAGTAATATATCCAGATTTCTCCTTAAACTGGGACTCCCAAGCACTCCACTCCCCTTGATAGACATGATTAGTAGTATTATTACCAGTAGTAGCATATATGTCAATAGTAATATATCCAGATTTCTCCTTAAATTGGAACTCCCAAGCACTCCACTCCCCCTAGTAGCGTTATTACTATCAGGAGTAGAATAAATGTCAGTGGTAAAACTTATATCCAGATTACTCCTTAAATTGGGACTCCCAAGCACTCCACTCCCCTTAACAGAAATGAGTAGTAGTATTATTAGTATCAGTAGTGGTGTAAATGTTGGTTGGAGGTCTTCCTATGCTGCTTTCCCCTTAAACTGGGTCTCCCAAGCACCCGTCTCCCTGCCATAAAAACATTATTAGTATCAGTAGTAGTGTAAATGTGGGTTGGGGGTTATCCTAGGCTGCTTTCCCCTCCAACTGGGTCTCCCAAGCACCCTTCTCCCTGCTTTACAGACATTATCAGTATCAGTAGTAGTGTAAATGTGGGTTGGGGGTCTTCCTATGCTGCTTTCCCCTCCAATTGGGTCTCCCAAGTATCCTTCTCCCTGCTTTACAGACATTCTTAGTATCAATAGTAGTGTGAATGTGGGTTGGAGGTCTTCCTGTGCTGCTTTTCCCCTCAAATGGGTCTCCCAAGCACCCTTCTCCCTGCTTTACAGACATTATTAGTATCAGTAGTGGTGCGAATGTGGGTTGGGGTCTTCCTATGCTGCTTTCCCCTCCAATTGGGTCTCCCAAGCAGCCTCCTCAAGCCCAGCCATGGCAGGGAGGCCTCCTGAGGCCCCACTCTCCTCCTCCCTCTCTTCTCACCGTGTGGGAGTGGAGGCTCTGGCTGGCCTCGACCACCGCGGCCAGGGGCGTTGTGTCGTCCAGCAGCACCTTCCCCGCCGGCGGCTTCTCCATGAAGGCCATTTCCCCCGCGCGCCTTCCTCCTCCGCGAGACCCACGCTTCCCCGCCAGGGCGATGACTGAGCCCAACCACTGTCAACACTTGGAGTCGCCAGCCCAGCCCCGCCCCCTTCGCGCGCCGGCCCTTCCGCCGCGCCGGTCCTAAAGCCCGCCGGGTCTCCCTCTCCTCTGGGAAGGCCCAGCAAGAGAAGCCTCCAAACCCTCCTTACTTGTCACTCTTGTGAGCCCCCGGTGGTAGCACAGTGAGCTGATGAACTTGCTGACCGAAAGGTCGCAGGTTCGAGTCCGGGGAGCGGCTGAGCTCACGTTGTTAGCCCCAGCTTCAACCTAGCAGTACGAAATGTGAGTAAATCAATAGGTAATGTTCAGGTGGGAAGGTAAGGCCACATGACCTTGGAGGTGTCTATGGTCCAGGGAAGTCATGCTCCCCCTCTGTTCTGCCTTAGTTAGAATATTGTGTCCAATTCTGGGCACCACAATTCAAGAAAGTGTCCAGAGGAGGGCGACTAAAATGATCAAGGGTCTGGAGAACAAGCCCTATGAGGAGCGGCTTAAGGAGCTGGGCATGTTTAGCCTGAAGAAGAGAAGGCTAAGAGGAGATCATGATAGCCATGTATAAATATGTGAGAACAAGCTGGAATGTGTCCAGAGGAAGGCGACTAAAATGATCAAGGTCTGGAGAACAAGCCCTATGAGGAGCGGCTTAAGAGCTGGGCATGTTTAGCCTGAAGAAGAGAAGGCTGAGAGGGGATATGATAGCCATGTATAAATATGTGAGATGAAGCCACAGGGAAGAGGGAGCAAGCTTGTTTTCTGCTTCCCTGGAGACTAGGACGCAGAACAATGGCTTCAAACTACAAGAAAGGAGACTCCATCTGAACATGAGGAAGAACTTCCTGACTGTGAGAGCCGTTCAGCAGTGGAACTCTCTGCCCCGGAGTGTGGTGGAGGCTCCTTCTTTGGAAGCTTTTAAACAGAGCTGGATGGCCATCTGTCAGGGGTGCTTTGAATACAATATTCCTGCTTCTTGGCAGGGGGTTGGACTGGATAACCCATGAGGTCTCTTCGAACTCTATGATTCTATGATTCTATGGGCTGCGATGCAGCTAGTTAGTAGCCAGCTGCATTAAATCACTACTGATCAAGAAAGAGGTCCTGAGTTCGAATCCAGCCCGGGGCTGGAGTGAGCTCCCTACCATTAATAGTCTAGCTTGCTGTTGACCTATGCAACCCAAAAGACAGTTGCATCTGTCAAGTAGGAAATATAGGAACCGCTTTATGTGGGGAGGCTAATTTAACTAATTTACGACACTACAGGCATGTAGCCGGGGGGGGGGGGCTTGGGGGTCTTCAGCCCACCCCCCCAAAATTCTCAGGGTGGTCTGCGAGAAGGCCTTACTGGTAGATTATTTAAACTGTTATGTTTATTCATATCATGATCTGATCACCATGCTCAATATATCCCATATGCATGGGGGTATTGGGGTAACGATACAAAAGGTTTGCTAGGTAGACCCTCTTTCACTCAGACTCAGCCCCCCCCGAATCAAGCTCAGCCCCTCCCGAAGCAACTGATTTAACTAATTTACGACACCATAAAACCTTCCAGCAGTTTATATAAGGATGAGGAAATACTCCATCAAGGACTTGGTGAAGTGGCAGCTCCCCCTTTGGCCGGAATCAAGCATACCCTCATGAAGCTGGAAAGCTGGAATGTCAAATTGCCTCTGTGTATCTGTCTACATATGTTGTATGTCTAATGGCATTGAATGTTTGCCATGTATATGTGCATTGTAATTTGCCCTGAGTCCCCTGCGGGGTGAGAAGGGCGGAATATAAATACTGTAAATAAATAAATATGGACAACGCCCACTCTTTGGCTTAGAAATGGAAATGAGCACCAACCCCCAGAATCGGACACGACTAGACTTAATGTCAGGGGAAAACCTTAACTATTGTGTGTCAAGGTCACAACAACTTCTATTATAAAACTCCAATATGCCGATGACAACATAGTGTGTGCACATTCAGAAGAAGACCTACAGGCCACTCTAAACACCTTTGCAGAAGCATACAAGAAGCTTGGCCTCTCATTGAACATGGAAAAAACCAAAGTGCACTTCCAGCAGCCGCCAGCCAATCCTTCTCCAATGCCAAAGATACAGATTAATGGTGTAACATTAGAAAATGTTGATCATTTCCGCTACCTTGGCAGCCACCTCTCCACAAACATTGACAGTGAAATACAACACCGCCTGAGCTCTGCGAGTGCAGCATTTTTCCAAATGAAGCAGAGAGTGTTTCAGGACCGAGACATCCGTAGGGAGATCAAGGTGCTTGTTTAGAAAGCTTCAAGTCAGACCCCAGCCCAAGCGTTATTCTCCCCTGCCAGAAATACACAATCAAAGCCCTCCAGACAGATGGCCATCCAGTCTCTGCTTGCTTTAAAAAAATCCTCTAGGGAAGGAGATTCCACCACACTTCCGCACACAGAAGATACACACAGAAGACTGAGTATATGACATGCACATACAGTAGAGTCCCGCTTATCCAACCTTTGTTCATCCAACGTTCTGTATTATCCATCGCAGTCAGCCTCCTGCCTGAATCCACAGCTGTTTCAATACATTGTGATGTTTTGGTGCTAAATTTGTAAATACAGTAATTACTACATAACAATATCGTGTTTTGAACTGCTTTTTCTGTTGATGTGTTGTAAAATATTATGTTTTGGTGTTTAATTTGTAAAATCATAATGTAATTTGACGTTTAATAGGCTTTTCCTGAATCCCTCCTTATTATCCAACATTTTGGCTTATCCAACGTTCTGCCGGCCCATTTATGATAGATAAACAAGACTCTACTGTATTGGGTGAATCTACATTAAGGAATTAATGCAATTCGACACCACTTTAACTGTCATGGCCCAATGCTGTGTAATTCTGGGATGTGTAATTTAGTGTAATTTGGCAAAGAAGACCATATAAAGTGGCATTTCCTATGATTCCATAGCATTGAGCCATGGCAATTAAATTGGTGTCAAACTGTATTAATTCTATGGTGTAGATGCAGTCTTAGAGGAATCAGGTGAAAAACACCTCTGAATAAATCTTGCTGATGAAAGCCTATGTTAGGATTACCATAAATTGCAGTATATAACAACGTAGTACTGTGTACAAAATGCCATTCTGAGTACACAATAATACCAAATTAGCACATTTTAGTAATAAAAGGAAATGCGCAAAGCTGCTCAAAGAAAAGGGACATAAAAAAGGAAGCGAGGCAATTCTCAAGAAAATGTTCAACTCTCATCTGTCCTGGAAGACTGGCTGCATCAAAGTGTGTGCTCATGGCAGCAATGTGTGAATGTGAAATATACTATAATATCGTTCTGGCACTTCTGTATGAAAGGCAAGATTGACATTTTGAAAATACATTCTATGCAGAAGATCACATCCTTATATTCCATGTGACGCAGAAAATTAGAGGCCTAGCTTCTAAATAACACTATTATTATCCCCTTCCATGCTGTTTAATTTTCTGCTAGCTGGCCTACTTCTAATGTGTACTTTAGATCATTCCTATTGTTTTGAAAAAGTATGGCTGATTTCAGTGTTTGATTTGCTAGACAGACTCTCAATGCTATACTGCTTTATGTAAGGCTGAATCTCCTCTACAGTGTAAAATTAATGCAGTTTGGCACCTCTTTACCTAAATGTCTCAATGCTATGAAATTCTGGGAGTTGTCATTCAGCAAAATTGCAATTCCCATGAGCCATGGCATTTCAAAGTATTGTCAAACTGTATTCATTCGATATAGTATAGATCTGGCATGGGCAAACTCTGGTCCTCTAGGTGTTTTGGACTTGAATTCCCACAATTCCTAAGAGCCGGTAGGTGTTTTGAAGTCCAAAACACCTGGAGGGCTGACATTTGCCCATGCCTGGTATAGATGCATCCTAATAAGCAACATCACATTCATTCAAAAGATATTCTGACAGATACACTTGCAAACAGAAGAAGCTTACATCCTGCAAGTATATCATGCTGTGGCTCTAGGTAAGCAGAGATCAAGCCTACTTTTAAGTGTCTGAAAAGAGGATTTTTTCTGTTGTTCCTCATATAGTTTTGTTTGCGAGCCTCACACCTTGCTGATCATCTTCTTTTGCACATGCCCCAATTTATGATTCCTAAAATCCTGCTGTTTCCAAATGGGTAGCTGTGTCAGCCACATGTTTCTTCTCTTAACATATAGCATCGATATTTGTGAACTAGAGCTATGGGTAGAATCATAGAATTGGAAGAGATCTCGTGGGCCATCCAGTCCAACCCCCTGTCAAGAAGCAGGAAAATAGCATTCAAAGCAGCCCTGACAGATGGCCATCCAGCCTCTGTTTAAAAGTCTCCAAAGAAGGAGCCTTCACCACGCTCTGGGGCAGAGAGTTCCACTGCTGAACAGCTCTCATGGTTAGGAAGTTCTTCCTGATTTTCAGGCAGAATCTCCTTTCCTGTAGTTTGAAACCATTGTTACACATCCTAGTCTCCAGGGCAGCAGAAAACAAGCCTTCTTCCTCCTCCCTATGACTTCATCTCACATAGTTATACATGGCTATCATGTCTCCTCTCAGGCTAAATATGCCCAGCTCTTTAAGCTGCTCCTCATGGACCCTTGATTATTTTAGTCACCCTCCTCTGGACACATTCCAGCTTGTCAATATCTCCCTTCAACTGTGGTGCCCAGAATTGGACACAGCATTCCAGGTGTGGTCTAACCAAGGCAGAACAGAGGGGTAGCATGACTTCCCTGGATCTAGACACTATACTCATATTTATGCAGGCCAAACTACCATTGGCTTTTTTTGCTGCCACATCACATTGTTGGCTCATGTTTAACTTGTTGTCCACGACGACTCCAAGAGCTCTCCACGAGGGTACATCTTTTGTTGTTCAGTCACTTCCAACTCTTCATGACCTCATGGACCAACCCATGCCATAGCTCCCTGTCGCCCATTGCCACCCCCAGCTCCTTCAAGGTTAAGTCAGTCACTTCAAGGATAACAACCATCCATCTTGCCCTTGGTCGGCCTCTCTTCC